ATCCCTTCCATAGGTTAAAGTAAGTCTTTTTTGTTTTTTAATCGTAGTTGAAAGCTTAAATGTAAATAGACTGAGTAACTGTGATTAAAAAATTAAAATTAAAATATAAATTATCAAATCTAAACTTTCTAGACAACCATATGTTTTATTATGTAGATGTTTTGTTTTATTTTCTTTGTCTGAGTTCTAGTCACAAAAAACATATCCACATGTAGATCAAGACCGTAGACATCTAATTTTTTATGTCTTTTAGATTCTACAATATCATGCTCTTGTGCATCAAATCAGATTGTAGTGTTGTCGACAAAGAGTTAAGTCATAATTGATCAGTGTCATGTTAAATTTTGTTCAATTTATATTTAATTTATTTAACGATAATTTATAATTAAATTCGTATTGCGTCGAATTTATGTTCCACTAATTTATCACTTGAATATGTTAAGACTATATTTAAGACAACTAATTCTGGATAGAGTAATCACTAAGGTTATCAATTTTCGTCACGACACGTTAAGACGACACGAAACAAACACAAAATTAATGGGTTGAACATGAAATTAAACGAGTTAATGAGTTAAAATAGGTCAACACGCTTAAATACAAAAAAAATTATGTAATGTCCATGTCAAAATCAGGTTAACCTGATTTTGACTTGATTAATCCATATATTTTAAATAAATTAACATAATTCAGACACGAACCCGACCTAATTCATTATAGACCTGTTTAACCCAGTTATGACAGTATAATTCATCTATTATATATAATTGATGTAGTCTTAACATTATAACTTATTAGTTCTTACTTCCATTATATTAATTGATAGTATAATTCTTAACATTATTATGACAATATACTAGTATAGTTCTTACTTTAATTTTTAGATTGAAACTTAAATACATTTTAGTTAATTTTATTGATGAGATGTGATATGTTATTTCTAAAAAAATTATTTGAAATTTTGAATGAATAATTGAATGATATTTTTATGGTAATGAACTAGTGTGAAATCAGGTTATGTGTTAAACAAATTTATATTATGCATACTACACAAACTAAAAAGATCATATTATGTGAGTTAACCCAAAAACGACATATTTATTAAACGTGTCAAAAAGGTCGAGTTTAAATAACTCATTCAATAGTCATGTTAGGTTATATAATGTTTACACATCTCAACACTAATATAAACATGTCATGTTTGAGTTTTGGAATTTTTGACACAAATTCGAAATTAATCCGACATGATATGATCCAACCTGATATGTTTGACACTCCTAATTACCATAGAGTAAAGTGGTCCAATAAGATGTCAACCAAACTTCTCACTCTGAAATTAAAGATTTGAGTCTTAAAGTCCACATTAGAATTCGATAATTGACCGCTATATTAACCTAATTAAATTCGTTTTTGAAATAAGTAACGAATGTGATCAAAGATCTCATAATCCCAATAGTGAAAGTTTATCTCTGTAATCTCTAAGAGTGCTCCATTGTGCCCACCTTTTTTAATGAATAGCAAAAAAAAAATAAAAAAATTCTAGATAGAGTTTATATAGAGTTCATAAATCATCTCTAGACTTAGCAGTTTAGTGCTCTCTGTCTACGTATTGGTTATGGTCTGGAATAAGCTACAAAAAGCCCAGGCCAATTCTCCCAATATGGAAACAAGGCCATATTAAGGAACAATTCATTCAAGCTGATGCAATATTTGTACCACCGTCAAAGCCGGTTCATGCTTCCCACTCCCTTTGTCTCTTTTAGCCAATCCCGCGTTCTCCGCAATGGGAGCCATCTCATTTCTTTCAGAAATTAGGTCCCACTGTAATAAATTTTGAACTAAAGACTCAAGTAGGTCAAATTAACTAAATTACCCTTTCACTAATTGACCAAAGCATCCTTGGTTTGCACTTCCATGCACTGTTGAAGATGGTATGAGAAGGGTAAACTCGTCTTGTAAGCAAACAAATACAAGTATGAATCCAAGAGGATTTTTAAGGCATTTAAGTATTCCCTCTATTTTTAAATATACGTCGTTTAAGATTTTTGCACAAAAATTAAATTTTTTTTTAAATAACTCTAATATGAGTAAAAAATAATTACACAAAACTAAAATACATTATTCAATACGTATGAAAATGAAAGGAATATAAAAGACACTTAGTCTTCACCTAATTTAATGTATTAAAAAATTAAGGGTAATTTAGAAGAAAAAATATTAATTATGTTTTAATTTTATTAAACGACATATATTATGAAATAAAAAAAATTGTGTAAAATGATAAATATTTACAAACGAAAAAAATAATAAAAGTCAAGGGTAGGTCCGGGATTTAAAGATCCAAAGCCAAAAGAGAGGGAGAAGATGATTTTGGAACTGTACCTAATTCAAAGATCACAACACCGGTCATCCAGTTTCAGTTGACTACATAGTCCCTAGATTTCCGGACTTGATTGAAGACTTTCTAATGTTTCCAGAATATAAATCCGACACCACTAATGGAGGAAAACACAGTGGCTGTGGGTCGGGCTACAAACTAGCCGACGGGTCCCTTGAGTGGAGAACGCTTAGGACTACCCAGCCACAAATTATGGCTTCCGACCAATTCCATCGGGTCAAGTTCAATCCTAATGAGACTCTAGTGGGCTGCCGTCAATCTGCCCCAAATGAGCTTTTCTTTCTTTTAAAAAATAATAATAATAATTTCATATTAAATTTGAAATACTTTTAATTTGAATTTCACCCGGGCAATGGGCTAATCCATGTGCCGCCTTTACCGGTCTTAATCGAGTCAATTCATCACACAACATGTTAGACTATAAGTATTGCCATTAGTCACCATGTATGTGGTTAATTCGTCAATATTCTCGTGGATTATTAGGCTAGAGGGATAGGCAAAGTTTTTTATTGGTCTATAGATCCACAATTGGAATCGTTGAGCGGGTCTCAATAACTAAATGGTGGTTGTTCTAAACCAAAAAAAAAAAAAAAAAAAAAAAAAAGGACAAAAAATAATCTTCAACCTAAGAGAATCCAATTCCACCAACAAAAAAAATAGTGAATAAAGTGGAAAAAATCAAATTGTCATGTCTAAGCTAAGTGCTAACCATGAACTTCTTTTATGTAGTGCACAACAATTTGGCATGTTTGGTTCAAGCTGTCTCTGTCCCCATTATATGTACGGTACATTGCTCATTATGTTTTGAAAAGCAGGTTGCCCCGCACAAAAAATACATTTGCTGCCTGTTCAAAGCTACAATCTTCTTTAAGCCAAATCGGTTTTATACTTCCAAATTCCAATTCAGCATAAATTACAATTATAGGCCGGCAATAAAGTCAATAGCTATGGTTGATTTCATGGCTTAAGAGAACTAATTTTGAAGTGACAAACATTCGTACAAAGAGGTACATAAGTGGATCAGTAATTTACTTTACCAATTTAAAAATTCTTATTTCAAGTTCGTCTTTGACCATCTCTTATAATTTATTTTTGTCAATATTATCTCGTCTGCATGGAAAACTAGAACCGACATGGGGTATAAGATGACACGGGTTCATTCTCATACCCCTATATCAATGGCAAGGAGATTTTCAAATGAAGAAAAGAAAAATAAATCGAGCATAAATACGTTTTAGAGTTGAAATTTATTTGAGAAGTTTTTAGCTTACAAAATATTTCCAATCCTAATTTTAACGTTCATATGTCAAGCAGTGGCTGGGCGGCAGGCTTCATGGAGGCGATGTACCATTGAGTTTCCGTAGTACCTTTTGACAATTTATTTTGGTGAATTATTAATGAAATTATTGACATAATTTTTTGAATATTGGTATTTTAAAATGACCTTATCAATTCCACGGTATACATTGCTTACCCAAATATATTAACCCTAATATCTAAATTTGGCTTTGATTTCAAGAATACCCATAAAGAATCGATTAAAAAAACCTAGGATAGGAACAAACGGAAGCTTCAATATTAAAATACGTACCAAAATTGAACGAAGAAATGTGGATGAACCAGAAAGCCGGTTAGCTAGCCTAGCACTTGTTTTTTCAGCAGTTAAAAAATCCACCGCCAAGTCTACCATTGAACGACTGTTCAACAGTTCAGAAAGGTACCTTCATCATTAAAAAAAAATTATAGTGCCAAATTTAGTGTTTTGAATATCATTCCATCATGTCGAGTTATTTTTATGACATATAAAAATTACTACTTAATAATGTTTAAAAAATATCAAAAAAATTCATAACTTGTTTGACTAATAACTTAAAAAAATTATCAATATATCTTTGGTTCAATGATATTTTTTATCTTTTGAGATCAATGACTCAAATTCCTTAGACTCTAAAAATATGGTTAATTGATAAAAAAAAATCTTAATTATTTAAACAAATTGTATTCAAATTTTTAGAATAAGTTCGTATACTCACCAAAATACTAATCTTTATGTAACACCGGTTCATAGACCTGACATTTATCCTGAATTCTACTGGGGGCAAAACTTTTCAGTACCCTTTCACTTTGAAATACCAATAAAGAAAGTACTAGTTGAGCAGGTCACCGGGTGCGACTTTGCCCAACTCCGATTTTCCCCCCCTGGTAACGCACTATACATTCACCAATGTGCAGAGCAGAATCACAAAACTCCAACAACTAATCCCTCTCCCCCTCTCTCTCTCTCTCTCATTTCATTGGGTACCTCGTTGAATCATTCTCTCCACGGTTCACAGAGAAGGCAAAAAAGTTTGTTGCGCTCGACACCCAATACTCATCTTCCTCTCTCACTCTCTCTCACAACTTTAAAGTAGAAACCGACGAACCAAAACGCGTAAACGTACAAAAACTTCAGATAATCTTCGTCGTCATCGTGGGTACAAACCTGCCGTTTTGCAGATTTCTAATCATTTATCTTTCTTTCTATCTCTTTCAGTTACTTCCTTTGTCTGATTGGTTTGAAAAAAGCTGTCATGCATTTGATTTGAACTTGTGTATATAATCCATGTTCACGGTGTTCTTGAGGAGAGACACAGGATATGCTAGTGGTACTTTCTTCTATCTTCATTTCTTTCTTTGTTGGGATCCAAAAGATTCTCTGCATTTTTACGGATCTGGGTTTCGTTACTGAGATAAATAGTACTCAGAACTCAGAAATAGTGGCAATTGAACGTGATAGTTTCCACTCTCAGTCTCCATTCAGATTACAGATTTGATCAACAGAGAAAGATCAAACTTCAAGCCTTCAAAAATCAGGCTTTCTGCTCCGCTCAATGCCTAAGGAACGAAGTGTTTCTTGAGGCTTTTTCACCGCCGGAACTCTTCGTTGTAAGGTTGACCCATACCCTCTCTGACTAATCCTTCAATTCCCAACTTCGATTTCTCAGTCTAAACTCCAATTCTCTTATCCTTATTATTCATAACTACTTCAACTAGATCTTCCACACCTGAACTGTCTTTAACGAGCTTCATTTATTGCAAATTTACAGGTTCTGAGATCAAACGACAAGCGGCAAATACACCGGAATCTACTGCTTCTCCGTACCCAATCCAGAAATGGGGAAAGCAGGAAGAGATTGGACACAGATCTACGCTATCTACGGCATAGATGATTGGCAAACCCCAATATTCCTCTTAATCCACGCAATCCTCTTCTCGATCTTGTCCATACTCTTTTTACTCTACTTTAACCCGATTTGCTCGTTATTCGAGCTGTTTTTTTCCTGGTGGCAGCGGCGGCGGAGTTGCTCGCTTCGCCGCCGGATTCACCGGCTCCGTCACAGCCCTCTCCGCCGTCTGTCTCTTTTTCGCCGCCGCCAACATCTTCTACTCCTCTGTCATCCTCCGCTGGGACATGGCCCAGCGAATGGTCAGCTCCGTCAACGACTGGTCGACGGTGAAGCACGCCCTGGACCTAGGCTGCGGCCGCGGCATCCTTCTTAATGCGGTTGCTCTGCAATTGAAGAAAGCCGGCTCTTCGGGCCGAGTAGTCGGTCTCGACCCGACCCGGATGAAGAAGGTTTCGACCCTCTCGACGCTCCGAACCGCTGGGATCGAAGGAGTTCAAGAGTACGTCACGTGCCGAGAGGGTGACCCCAGGACACTGCCATTCGGTGATAACTCATTCGACGTGGTGGTATCCGCTGCGTTTGTCCACACGGTAGGGAAGGAGTTTGGGCAGAAATCGGCAGCGGCGGCGGCGGAGAGGATGAGGGTACTGGGGGAGGTGGTGAGGGTTTTGAAGCCAAGTGGGGTAGGAGTGGTGTGGGACCTAGTGCATGCCGGAATATGTGCAGCGATTGCATGAGCTGAACATGGATGATATTAGAGTGTCTGAGCGTGTAACCGCCTTCATGGTGAGCAGCCACATCGTAACATTTCGTAAGCCTAGTCAGCACTTTCTGGGTCACGGTGAGGTTAGGCTCGATTGGAGATGCCACAAT